TGTTCCCCTCATTAATTTATCGAGCCTTAGGTTCCGCGCAAGCTTCCCTTCTTTTCATCCGGCCCTCGAGAGGTCAGTCAGGTTCGTTGTGGACGTCTAAATTCCGTAGTTTTGATGCATTACTCAAGAGTACATCAACTTCGTTACCTTAAACAACTTTCAAGATCCTCCTCATCAGGTTGGTCATCCTTTTTCTTGCCTAGCCTAACCACTTTGGAAATGTGTACTCCTTTGTACGTTTCAGATAGGATATATCTGATGGCCTTTTTTCAGATCATGCGTATAATGTATTGAAGGGTCTTTGTCCACAGGCTCCTCAACATTCCAGATCACGTTGGACGTTAGTGGGAAATCCTTAGGTCGCGTTTTGCCGGGCTTCGAAACTTTCTTGACAGGTTTCAAAAGCTTCGTAGCTTCAGTGATAACCTTTGGAGGTTTCTTGGAATTCTTTCTTGGGGACACCCATTCAAACTCATTGGTCACTCTTGTAGAATCAACGTTGCTAACAGACAGTGTCTTTCGGTGAATCCTTGGGCATTATAGTTGGTGTGCCAGTCACCATCTTTTTCCCTTTACATCGAGTGCGCATCAGAACTAGTGTAAGCTCACCGACTAGATCGCCAGTATGCAACGGTCCATCATTAGGTCTCATGTCAGATGTATTCACAATAACAATTGCAGTCATCATCTGATACCGCATTGAAATGGCAGCTATCATTACCACATTTTTTTGACCAGTAGCGTCTTGATAGTTTGAATTAGGGCTGACAAAGTATTACAACAGAAGTGATATAATCGGGGAGAAGCTAGTTTGCTGCAATGTTTGTAGGCAGTCGATGTCAATCCGGTACAAGCTTTTTGGATCCAATATCCACATGCATCACATTGCATACCCTCGTCGACTGGCAATTTGTTATTCACAATTCAGTTAAAGTTTCCACCAGAACCGTATTCGAACTGAAGTATTCACTCAAAATTAGGACGGAAAGAGATTACACAAAAACAAACCTTAAGCCTCAAAATGATAAAACTTCAAACGCCAACTGAAAGACTTCAAGTCGAGATTTATAAGAAAACCTTAGGTGTTTATTACACAACAAAAGCCAGAAATGTCAGAAGCGTGGAAAAATTCACTTCTTGACTTCAAAGTGCGCGCTGAAGTGTACTTTGACTTTCCCCCTGAAGTTGTTTGTGGTGACAGTTGGCCCGAAGCTGTCCTCCAGAAATGTCAGCAGTGATGGGAGGCGCACATGATGCCTACATCATATAGTATAACTACAAAGTGTATAGTGCTCTCCTTATATGTCTAAATGCATGCACATAGCACTTTCAAAACCAATTGACTTCTCAGAAGCCAATAGCGAAGAGAAACTTTAATAATAATTTGAACACCAAAATGATGTGTACTAAGCAACTTAATTCTGAAAAGGCGAGTAGTGCACTGCATCTGTTTTAGGCTTTCCGGAGAGTTTGATAACCGTGTTGTCTGCGTACTGGGCGGTAGGTGCTTGCATTCTTTCCTCATCTCTTGCCTTTTAATTATCGATAACCTATAACAATCAAATTAGGCCTACTGATTCTCCTCGTTTTTGTCTTTTCCCTCACAGTTTCAACTCGTCATGGCTGGTGTGATACCACGTTTGAATGCTGGTAACAGTTTTATCCGCCGTCACATATTCACTGTTACTGTTGTGTCTGTAAACGTTGAGAGGGAAAACTTGGCAGGTGGTTAAGTCTAGAAGCTGCTTATGTTGAGATTGGACATGAATGCTTTCTTGAGTGACCATTTGTTTTGCATTGGTGATCACGAATACTGTCTGCTGGAGTTTGGATCAAGTAGAGTACTCATTATACGACGTGTACAGAAGTCCTCATGTGTGAATTCACCAGAGTAGTTAACTTGGGTTGCTGCCTGACGATAATCCGAGTCCTCTATCTGCCGCTCGAACTCTCGCATTCGGATTTCACTATGAATTAACCACTGCCTAGAGGCTCTCAGCTTCTCCACTAAACCTACTGTGGTGATATCTTTGTTCAAGCTGCTGGTTCCAATTGAGGACTCAACATCCTTTTCGACCAGTCCATTTGTTCGTGTAGTATTAACAAATGATTTTCAATGTGGTCTGCAGCATCCCTGGGAAGACTGGCTGCATTGGTTTTTACTTGCACAGTTGCAGTACATCTACAGATCAGACGTTAGGCCAGGTTGAACTTACAGCATTACAGACAAATGTGACGAACTTAAAGTGGGCTTACCAGACGAAAATTGGCTGTAAGACTCAATAAGCTTAGCACTAAGACTACCTAAAATGAGAAGATTCAGTGAAAGGCTTCCGGAGGACTGGCGTGTTAAAGTCGAAACCATCATCTTTCACTATAGTCGGATGATCCAAAGGTGTACCAGTATCAGGCCCTTTGGATTTGCGGACAATTGGACTACATACATTAGTGTAGTAAAAGGGTATACTGGTTCCGTTGACTTGTAGGCTCCGTATCAGAGATCAAAGATGCTAGTGAACTGCCTTGTAAGCTTACAACACCTCCACATGCTTCCCGAGCACGGTCAATGTTATCTGAAATTGCTAATTTACACTGAAAGGTGTTAATTTATTGGCTCGGAGACCTACTGGCTGTACATACAGTTTTACGTCCTACCAAGTATGGCCCTTAGGTGTCTTAACGAAGCATAGGAGATAGGATGTGTTACTGGTTCAGAGTTATCTACCTCTTAAATCCCAGTGTTTCCAGAATCTAGTGGTTTATTTTAAAGTGACCGGGGATTAGAGTAGATATGGAACTGAAATTCACTTACTACCCTCGATTGTGGTCCAACTAAAACACAGTAGTCTGGGGAAATGGTAATAATGGTGAACTGCCTTACCATAGCTCTTTGTTTCTTAATATCTGCGATGGCACACTTTTTAGCACTCGGTCTGGGAGTTTCCGTTTCCACAAAGCATCTCTCAGCTATTCGCTTGCAGAGCTAAACAGCTGGATTGCGTGAAACAGTTACTGATTGCCACATAACGCGTGAATATGACTCAAAAGGAAGGCAAGAATAAGAGTCCAGGTGACCATGTTTAAATACGTCACCACATACATGTAGCAAACCCTGGGTATTATAAGCCGTACTTTTGAAACCAAAAATTCCCAGCAGATTTATAAAGTAAAATTTTAATACTTTCCAGATACCAAAGGCAATGGAATTAGTGACTGAATAAGTACACATCTGAAAATAAGTCTATCAAGGTGTCATAAAAAAAATGATGATATATGTCAACTAAGTACAAAAGGAACAGGCAACATTGCGTTGCTTTTCATTTATCTGTTTCAAACAGGTTTCTGTACTTACGTTGAAAGCCGCTCAGTGTAACTGCATGAAAGTTGGATAAAAGATCGTTGGTTTGGTGAATTATGTTTTGGTCACGATATCATGTGTAAATCAAGCCATGCTTTCTCACGACCCCAGGAGTTTCCAAACCACTCCTAGCAGTGGCAGATACATAAGGTCGGTTGGGAATTAATACAGGAGTAAATCTTGGACACCGTGGTAGATTTTAACTCCATTTTTGTCTGTTGATTTGAGATGCCATACAGTGAAACAACCATTTACTGGATAAGATTCCGGCTATAATCTATTCTCCATATTCATATCGGATAACTCCACAATTTTGAGACGGAATTCATGTAGTCCTAATTTTATCTCCTGTGACAACGGTGGAAGAGTTTTTCATATATCTGGGGCAGCGTCAGAATCATTTCTATCACTGTACGTATTTGGTGTTGATTGGATAAACAAAGATTCGGTTAATCTCTCCCTCCATCTAACTGAGTTAGTCTTTAATACTATCACTCTATCCCATCCTGTTGTGTGTAATTGCGTACTGTGGTATAGCCGAGCGTTTTTCTAAGTTTATTTTATTAAGATCTCATCTTGATTTAGCTAAATTTTGTACTGTATTATTCTAATTGATCCTGGTCGACTACTTAGACTTGTGTATTTGACCTGGCAATCATTGAAAGGGATTTGGTAAACCAAATTATTCTGCCTAGTTGGATCAGTTGGACCTTTTAACCCACAAAGCTTGTTTCTAAGCGAGTTTGTTGGTTTAAATGCCACTTCGATCCCAGCCTTATTGAGAATTCTTCATAACGCCTCCGAGGTACGTTTTTTGTATGGTAACACAGTGGAGGCTTTAAATTCTGTCTGAACTCGAATCAACAGCCAATACATGTGATAGAAATGATTATACACCTGCTCCAGATACATGAAAAGTTCTGTTACTCTTGTTATAAAGGAGAAAAAATCAGATCTATATAAACTGTCTGATGGCTGTAGAGTTACATGATATGAATATGATCAATAAATTATGTCCAAAACGTTGTTATCCAGTAAATGATACCGTTTTAATATGTGACATTTTTAATAAACAGATAAAATGTCGGTTGGGAATGTTTTAACCATATCAGTATATGATTTCTTTAAGAGAGACGTCTGTTTGTGATGAGCCGGGTCTGCAACCATTTCAGCTTATCGTATTCTAAACTTAAACATTAAGTAAACATCTCTACATCATGAAAGCTTTATGCCGAAGAAAGGTATCAGTAGGCTGTTACCGCACACATGTTCTCTAATGAATGTCAATTTCAAGATGAAAACGAGGTAGACTTGGAGTTGATATGGAAGGTTTTCGTGTGACTTGTTTGATACTTTATGAGGATGTGGCTGATTGATTTGGACAGTGGAAAGTTGGACACCACTCCACCTACCAACGTTTTGGCAATCAGGTAGTATCATTGGTCCTCATATAATAAGTGTAGTGCATTGCTTACTGCACGAACGTACACACGGCTTCTAAGCGCTTTCTGTTGGTCGTTTCTTTTGATAACTTACCTACTGTTTTCAAGTTTAATATGCACATTTCTCAGCTTTCTTGTTTTTTCTTAGACTAACTGCTTGTATTAATAATTAAAATGAGTTCAATTTGTTATTGAATTAGATTTTTCTGTTTTCCTAGCATTAGAATGACATATCTCCTCTACAACAACTCATCAGCAGACTATACAAAAAGCTATTGCTAATCAAATGTTGCTTTGAAGCCAACTGTATAAATGCTTGTCAATGAGTCACAAAGGTTATTAGATGAAGTAATCACGAAGCTTAGTTGGACAAATGAGTTTATTTCAAATGTGAGTAATCTTATTGTTTGTTCATACAATCACATTTCAGTTACTCAGTGTTTCATGAATATTCTTGCACTTATTTTTGTGACCGTAGTGCGTGGATTACTTCATAACAGTTTACCTTTACCTTTACCTGTAACCTTCTCATGGAAGACATGAGAAGGTTACAGGTGTTTGACCACCGTTGCCTTCGTAATATAGGACGTATCCCGTGGTGTCACCATGTGAGTAATACAGAAGTTAGGTGTAGAGTTTTAGGGAGAAGAGGTAAGTCAGTCGACGAGGTTGTGAACCTTCATCGACTGAGATGGTTGGGACACGTACTACGTATGCCTAGTCACCGATTGCCTCGTCACACAATGTTGGCTGAGGTGGGTCTAGGGTGGAAAAAGGCTCGAGGTGGCCAGACTAAGACATGGCACCAATGTATGAAGTCTCTGACTGTTGGTTTAAGCCATGTAGGACGATGCAGACTAGGTGGTTGGGGTCCGCGGGACAAGAGGAACCAGTGGTTGGAGACCCTAGGTGATATGGCTGAGAACCGAAGTCAGTGGCGCAGATGTATACACACATTATCCTCATCTTAACGAGGCTATACCGAATCTCACTATTTTGTCACTCCTCTTTCCTTTCTTCTCGTACTTTATATTTCTTTTGACTGCATTCACTTATCTTCATCCTTCACCTCACTACCTTTTTACTTGATGTGCTGATATGAGGTGTGGCAACTCGGACCGTTACGCAGTAATGCCTGGTCCTATGTTGATAATGATGATGATGACCTTTTAAAATCGCCTACTCACCTGTAATGTACAAACTCATCTTGATGTATCAGTCAACGATAACTTGACTTGACTTACAATTGCGCTTATGTCAGTAACCGTTTTACTGAATTCATGAGAAAAAATACGATGATGAGTGCATTTTTATGATGTAATGTTTGGTAACTGTGATCAGTAGTTCATGATATTAAGTCATAAGTTGTTTCTATTTGTATCTTTGGTTGCCTGAAGCGGGTAACCAACAACAGACCAGTATATCTCGAAGAAAATGTACTCGACAACCACCTGCACGTTTGTACAGTTGACAATGAGCCATCCCTATTTTATGAAGGATAATGATACCACTTAGCTGCCCAAATCTCTGTAGTTGGAGCAGGTTTCGAAATTGTGACCCACTGGTTTGCGGTCGAGTGCCTAGATCAATTAGTCCTATATCTAATCATATGGCACCCTCAGTCCATTTTCTTTCTCATCATGATAGTGGGAAGTGAAGTATTCAAACAAGACAACTAATTTTCCAGATTAATATTTTTATTTATCGTGTCTGATTAGCGTGTGTTAGTCATTGAGGAATTACTGAGAGAAGAGGAATGATTCATCTTCACTTGACAAAACTAAATGAAGGAGATAGCGTTTAACATTTTATTCTTCCGTCACATGAAGTAGTGTATATGAGTTAATTTTGCAAAGTGGATGGTTGGGACTTATTTTGCACATGCCTAGCAAACAAACATCTGTATCTAAATCGACGCTTATTGACTATGGTAAACGTGATATGAAAATAGATTCAACATTTTCATAAAAAGACTGTACACCCTCCGAAATTCATTACCTTTTGTAATTCATTTTCTAGGGTAGAAGGTGAAATCTGTTAAGTGCTACAAGTTTGTCTTCAGATATGTTTGAAAATAAACGTAACCTAATATTTAGTACTTTGGTAGTTTTCTAAGCCAACGAAAATGTTTCAACTCAATTGTAATTCAGAAATTATTGTTCTGTTGCACACCCAACAGTATACAGATTTTGTAAACCACTTCAATGTTTTCATCTCTCTATGTTCCTTTTCACTGAGGATTTTGCTGATATCTTGCATTTATTCTCAGTATAAGTATTATATGCATCAGAAATAGTTGTTCAGTTCTTCTGTAGGTATACTTTTACTTGCACTTGCGAGCTGTGGACTAGTATACCATCCTGTGAAGCATACAACGTGTTTCACAGAATATCTTTCTCACCATAAATTTCCATTGGTTCTAAAATCTATTTCGAATTACTAAAATATGTATAATAGTGCTTAGTTGTAGTTGCCGTCTATGCAGCTGCAAAATACACTTCGGAAAAGTTTGCCTGAAAGTATAAAAATATTATACACGTAAATTAGTTTGAATCGTGTGTTTGAAGAACCAGGGTTAGTGACTATACCACGTGCTAATATTTACCTTTGCCTTTCTGAACTAGATCAAACTTTAGAAACAGGATTATGTCCTGTTTCACACAGCACTCATCAATTAATATTATCATCTCAAAAATAAGGTGATATCGGGTATATTACAACTAGCCTATAGTGAACGGAATCCCCTGAGTTATACCACTTCCACCCACGTCTATCTACTTGAGTCTTGTTTAGAACCAACTTTATGTATACTTACACTTGAACACTTGTATAAGACGTATAACTGAGAAGTTGTTATATAGTGTTTTGGATATTCTGGCAAAATGCTTTATAAACAGAATCAATTTTCCAGCTTTCAGTAATACATATGCTGAGGAAGTGTGTCAGGAAGTTCATTCCTTTTTAATCATAACACTTGAAGCGAGAGACATGTGTTGGAAATTAGGTCACAGCCATGCCATTCGTTCGTAGCATCTTTGGAATAAATGGATGCCGATGGATAGTACACAGTATCCGCAATATGATGAGTAGCTGGTTGTCGATGGTTATAAATGCAATTGGGAGTGTATAGTTACGCTGTAATCCTTTGAATGTAAGTTTTGGAAATGGAGTTATTGCAAACAAAGCAATCGAAGTGTAAGGTGAGAAAGTTTAAGTTACTAGGAGATATTAAAAATAATTCCAGATGTGTGTGTGTTTGTGTCTGTATGTGGAGAGCTGATACTTTGTATGTCCTCTCAATGATGTTTAACATAATATTATCAATTGAAGCGTTTAAAACATCGAAACCAGAAGTCGATCATGGTTACATACTTCCATACTTTCTTTGTAAGTATCCATGATACATAAATAATCGTCTGCCTGCAATCGTTTACCACTTCCTTGTTTGTTAATACAAGACGTATTAACTTCATTGTAAGTAATTTATCTGTGTTGTCTCTTATCTGTTCTTAAAAGGCATCCAAGTATGAACGATGCTCTTATGCCGAAAATCACTGGATTCCCACGAAATCAATCCACAAACATAATAACTACTGTTCACTGCGTCAACAAGGCTATCTTAAAGACGAAATAGTAAGTAACTAACTACTTTTGACAGTCAATGATGTATATACACTTAAAATACTGAAAGCAATCATCTCTTTTGACCTACACAGGTGACATGTAAGCACTAGAAAACTTAAATATGACGTATTACTTATTACCAGTTGGTTGGTTTTTATACTTTGTAGATTTCATTTAGAGTCATCAACCATTGGTTCCTGTCATCTCGGGGGCTCTAGCCAGGGAAAGAACATCACACACGCGTCAGACCAACAGTTAGAGACTTCATGAACTGTTGCCATTTCTTGGTCTGACCATCGTGAACCCTTTTCCAACCTAATCTGACTTCCTCCAAGCATAGCACGTTGAGGTAGGTGGTGGCTTGGCATGCGCAGTATATGTCCAAGCCATCTCAGTTGACTAAAATTTACAACCTCATCGATCGACTTGTCTGTCTTGCCTAGCATCCATCGTCTGACCTCAACATTGCTCATACGGGGATCCCAAGAAACGCGATTATTCCTAAGAAGACATTTGTGATAAAAACCCTGTAACCGTTTCATGTTGTCTACTTTTAACGACGATGTCTCACAGTCGTATAATAAGACAGAACAGACTACAGTTAAGAAAGCTATTTCGGAAACTGAAACCGTGCAAAGCAGCGTGACCTGACTGTTTGCCACCCAAAGTTTTCAAGGACTGAGGCAGGAAATTGTTGAAGGCGGCACTTGACTCTGTCGACCATGAGGTGCTGTGACATTGTCTGACTGTGAAGGGGGTACCGAACAACTAGATTATGCTTACAAAAGATCTCTACTCGAACTCACGCAGCCGTGTAAGGGCTTATGGAGAGTTGTCATCAGGATTAACGTCGACTAGTGGTGCCCACTGGGGATTCTCATTGTCACCGTTCCTATTTAACTTCGTGGTCATCTGGCTGACTTGGAAAAGGCAGACGATATTGTCCCGGTAAGTGAAGACTGTAACACAAATTGAACACCAACTCATCTTGTATGTCGAGTCCAGGAATTGTTTGCATGAAATGTGTTCAAAATAAAGTTTTCATATTTCACTAGGAATCGGTGTAATTCACCGATACATAATTTCACCAGTTCTCAGCTTTGTCTCTACTACAGCACTAAAATACACAGTCGATGGTACGAAGGCAACTGTGGTCGAACATCTTGAGCCTTATCATGTCTTTGAACTTAATGTATATCGTGATTTCTGCAGGAATTTCTAATATAGCCTGTAGAATATCGACTGATGTTAGTGGAATTGTTTGAGAACTCTAACAAAGTATTCGCTTTAGCTAGTCAAACATTGTGCTACAGTATTCACAAGGCTGCAGTAAGCGAAATGAACCCGTTGTGTGTCACTAGGAGGATAAAGTAATTTGAGCTAAGACATTCCACTCACAATGCTTTCGTGTATTGTTGTACTGTTTCTACCCTGGCGGGTCAACAACCGAAGGAATCTCGACATGGATGCAAATGGTTCGCTTAGTCTTTGTCAAACTACTCCATTTATCGCGACACCGTAATATTAGATTACCTATTATAGATCGAGTGTACTGTGCCTCAGTTTACACTGTTCTATTCTACGGCTGTGATTTATTACCATTAAAGGTGGAGGATATGAAAAGTCTCTAAATATTCGACCACCATTTCCCTTGTGTCATGGTGCCGCCACTTCATTCAAGTAAAAATTAGGCGTTGAGTTCTAGACAGAAAAAAAAGTTAATTAGGTTGTGAGCCTCCATCGATTCAGGTTGCTGAGACACGTACTACACACCTCTTTTCACCATCTACCTCGTCATGCATCGTTAGCTGAAGTGGGTTTAGTGGAGAAAAAGGTGAGAGGCTCTTACACTATGAGTCATTGCATCACTGCTTGAAGTCTTTGACCGTTTGGTTGAGTCATGTAGACTCACCAGTTGTAGTTCACATCACAACTGAAATCAGCGGTTGGAAACTAAGTGATACAACTGACATTGACTGTCAGTAGGGCAGATGCATCCACACATCTGCATCATCATATTACATTTGATCATTGGTTTATCCACGCTTCTGTTTTTATGATTTTGTAGCAATCGATTACTTTCTTCTCTACTTCTCTACCTTTGATCTATGTACCTTGTGTATTGATGTGATGATGTTAGGTGTGGAAGCTAGGTCCGTTACGCATTAATACTAAGCTTTACGATGATGTTAATCAACTGACTTCCACCGGCGACAGTCATATAGTTGAAATTTTATGGAATGAATTTAATTCATTAGGAAACTATACCCTAACATATCACTTTCTTTCCATTTTGTGTACAAACCTTCCCTTTAGAATTCAATGGTTCCGAGTGCTGATGTCTGTGTTTCCGAGTATCCTCAGCCTACATCCGACTGGACTAATGATCCATCTTGGATTATGAACATGGAAGCATTTTTCACTGATAAATCCCATCGATCATGTGAGTTGCTGCAAAGAAATTTGAAAAAGTCAAGGTTTCAAGCCTGAATATAAATTTGGGGGTATTGATAAGATTTCTACCGTTTGACATATTTTGTAACACAGAAGTAATTAACCGCTGTCGCCAGTTACCACGTATCTTCTTGTAGAGACGGTATTCGACTCTTCATCGATTGAGAGATATTGTGATGGTTTCTGACTGTGAAGAGATAACCTAACAAGTGAATAATGCTAATCACGACTCTTGACTCTTTACTTAAACAGCAGTTTAAGGGTTTGTCTTAGGTTGTCATCTGATGTAGCGAAAACCAACCGTTTTGCGCCAAGGTTGTTCACTATCACCATTCTTACTTAGCCTTGTTATAAATACACTGACGAGTATGACCCTCAGAGGGCACCTGATTGAGTAGCTAGTGTATAGATCTGTTCAGCAAGAGTTCTGAAAAAATGCAGGGTATCCTGAACTCCTTGATTAAACGCCTGAGTATGTTTGACGTATATTCCGCTCCTGTCAAGTGTAACTGATGCTTCAGTGCTAGTCTGTGCCGACTCGTATTTCGATAGTGCATGAAATGGTGGGATGCACTAACCACGTTGTTTTGGCACAATGTTAATAAGCTTATATGCTTGAAATCGAATCAATAACCTGGAATTTATGTGTCTTTATCTTTGCCACGGGATTATGCGTTTGCACACGTCTCATTGTCTGAATACAGTTGAACTTGTTTATGCTTTCCGACGCCTGTGAGTTGCCGACTTAGGATGAACACACAAGATGAAGTATTCGCAACTCCACTCACTTGTAGTCCTTATTTCAGATTTCCACCTAATGCGTTTATGCGACTGAATAAACAACGTGCCCACAATCAGTTACAAATATACAATAAAACCATCCAGATTACAGAATGAGCTGCTTTTGGCATTTTCTACTTTATGCCGGTTGTGGCGTTGGCGAGATATCCGACTACGTATCAAAGGTTGTGTATACTGAGGAACAGCTGGTTCTGTTCTCTTGTATGACTGTGAAATAGGATCCTTCAAAATAGAATCCATGAAAAGGTTACGGATTTTTTGATCATAGTTCTCTTCATGTCGTTGTCTTTATGTGGAACCGCAAGTTGAGCAGTGCTTGGGGTAATTTCAGTTGAGCAATGTTGACTGGCGAAAAGTTAAGTTGGAGCAAAGCTAAGGGTGACTAGATCAGAACGTGACACTAGTTCATAAAGTTCCTGACGGTTAGTTTGAGTTGTCTGAAGAGATATAGACTGTCTTACCGCTTGGTGCCTCGTAGTAATGTGGTCCAAAATAGATCTTGGCGTCACATTTATTTACTTCTCTTCCTCTCAAAGCCACTCCGTCTAGTTCAATATCCTTCGTGACCTATCCACCTTGTCTCCATGTGCTGTTGTGAAGTGTAGCAAAGCAAACCAATACAATTCTGTACAAGGTTCTACGTTGATTTATCTGTTTATCTATCTGTCAAGTTGTTACCCTTCATATTCACATAGTTAACATAAGTTATGCTTGTTTTAACGGAAATGGATACTCAAACCTTCATTTGATCACTTTGTTTTCATTTGTGCTGGTTAAGAATTTTCAGTGTAAATATAAACATTTTTAGATGAGCAAATGATTGTCAAACTAAGCGGACTAGTTACCATTTCTTTATACTCAGCGATTTCGATGCCTGACGAAGTTCTTTTAACCGTGATTATATACGATTGGACGATTCGAAATAGTTCAGTGACACACTGGGACGTTATTTTGTTTAGTTGTTAGGTGCTTGGATTCAATCAGTAAGAAGCTGTACTTGAAGTATGTTTCGTACGTGTTGGCACTTGTCAGCGAAACATACCTGTAACCTTGAAGGTTAACTCGTTTTCTTCCAAAGATTATAATCTATATCGGACATTTTAAAAGCGATAGAAATTACACACTTGATTAATTGGCTTGGTCACAAAATTAGGTCTCGAAGGTCATGTTGTATATAATCCAGCAACATTAGTCAGACTTGGTGGTGGTATTACTGTCAACTATATATCACTTTCAGTTCACAACCTTCTTCCTATGCCAATACGATGAGACATGTTATATATGCTGAAGCAGAAAACTGGGGCTGATCAATAGCATTTTATACCCGTTGATTAAAGTTATGTTAGGGATTCTATGCTTCTTGATTGGAATCCAAGGGATAACCAAAATTACAAACTTTAGATGAAATGAAACAGAATCGAGGCATTTATGCCTTATGTTCATCGAGATCTCATTGTCGTGCTTATTTATCCCTTTTGTATACTTCCGATCTTACAGCTCCTTGGAAATGCTGATATCACTATTGGTATTATTTTTATGATGCTGTCTTCCCCTTCTCTCGCCCTCATTGAAATTTGCCTCGATGAACTGATGTGAAGTGTAACAACTGGAACTGATATAAATAGTTATGCCAAACAGACAGATAAACGGAGTTCTAATGTTACCTCATGATAGTTCAAATTGCCACAACTCATAACAAAACACCAAGATAGGATATGAGATGATGAAAGATAGAGAAAAAAAAGGAAGAAAGTGGTCAGGTTGATAAAAAGTTGTGAAAAGAGAATGAGAAGAAATAAATCAGTACTGCAATTCAGTGTGCCAATTAAGATGAAGATAATGCGTGGATACATCTGTGCCACTGAGATCGATTATTAGCTTTACTACCTCACATCTGCAACCATCGATTTCGATTGTCATATGATCCCTAACCAAAACTCTACATTCATCTACACTATTAAGACCAACAGCCAAAAATTACATGCAGTGATTTCATGTTTTAGTCTGGCCACCTTATGACAGCGTGAACCCACTTCAGCTAACATTGTGCGATGAAGGCACACGGTAACTAGTCATATGTATCACATGTCCCAGTCACATGAGTCGATGAAGGTTCACAACCTCATCAAATGACTTGCCTCTTTTACCTAAAACCATATGCCTAATTTATGCTTTACTGAAATGGTGGCACTACGATACAGCCTACGGTAAAAAGGCAACAGTTTGTGAACACCTGAAGCGTTCATTTGATCTCCAACTCTAATTACCATTGTTCACAGCCAGCGCAGCAGTGCAGTGCACTCGATGCTTAACAGGCAATCAGATATCTCTGCAGCGCAATAAATGGCATAGTGTGTTAAGAACCGCCCGAGACTTTTTCATCCACGCAGAGATTTCTTCAGTCACTGACCTACAAAGGCTTGGATGCCTTCCCAGTTAAGTGAAGTGGTCAACACGCTCAACCAGTTGACTGCTTATTATGTCAATTCTAATTGTATTTCCGTATGATCCTTGTTTCGTCCTCCTATGTGACAATGCCTCATCAAGCTAAATATAATCCATGTATTATTACTTACCTAAGCTGATGAAAATGAAGGATTAATGATGTCAGTTTGAAGAGAGAATATGAGGTAAAAATGTCACTGAAGAAATCTCTATACAATACTTACTCAGCCATTTATGTTTAATGTTCACATCAGTGTCTTCTTTTTAATAAGAAAAATTTCCAAACTGTATATGAACACACTGGCTAATATGAATATTATACTGAGGCAAATAAAATGCAAAATGCTCCCACTACTCTGACGAAAGCTACAGACAAGAATGCAAATCAGTAGTATAAAGCCACGGCACCAGAAAATCCACGAAGTGATGATAGTCGACTAGTCAACGTTCTGTTGCTACAGAAGTGTAGAAAATCGGGTAAACATATGAGCAAGAGTACAAGTTGATAATAAGCACGAAAGTGCAGAACAAGGATACTGTTTAAAAATTACGATTTCCTATGTAAGTTTTAGTATTTATATCACTCTTCTCAGCAACTCATTCTTAAGCTGTAAAATTTACTTGACAGTATAAAAAGAACACCAATAATGGTGAGTGGTGGCTAGCAGTGGAATCCAGGACGCACGTTTCGTCCATCACTTATACATATATAATTGAAACAGGTAATATCGAGGCATCCGCTCAGGAGCCTATATGCCAGTAGAAACCGATGAGATAGCACAAGCAACAGCATTAGCATTATACCCGTCACATAAGAAGTGGCTATGGTCACTCGATAGTCTAGTGGATAACGCTCTGGCGTTTGAAGTGATCGGTCCCGGGTTCGAGTCCCGATGGGGGGAAAACATCGCTCACTGGGGCTCAGGTACATTCAGCTGATGAGTCCGGAATAAGATGAAACGCGTGTCTTGAATTCCACTGCTGGCCACTATCCATCATTAATATTTAACTGAAACCGCACGGTAGCCCATACGCCAATAAGGACTGATCAATTCGGTCCACTCAGTGACAGGATAATGCAAGCAACACCATGAAAGGAACACTGCTTAGAGTTCAGTAATAAAATTCTGGTCTTAGTAAAGTTTAGGCGACTGAAAAAGAGTTATGTAGTGTGAAAAAATAGTAACCTGATCAATATTTGAGTGTAATGATACAGTTAAAACAATTGAGTGCAGTTCAACAGGAACAAGGAGAACATTGGTTTATTTGTTAGAGGGATAGGTTATCAGGAGAGATGTGGCAGGGTAGTAAAGACACGAAAGAAAACATTCTCCAAGAGTAAAATGTTTTTAGGCGAGTTAAACTCACTGTAGGTTTAGTGAAGTTTGAAGAACAAACTTTGTATGCAAAATTCAAGATTTATGAATCGTCGTGACTCATCATGGCTTCTGCATTTTGAGGGAGTTTTATTCGTACGGTTTTCTTATGTACTCTATATCTGGTTATTGTAGGTCCATGTGATGTGCAGAATAGAACATATATCCCAGAGCTGAACTGTGCGAGGATTTTCTTTCTTCTTTTTAGTGAGTTGTTGCCAGATACGACCTGGGTATGTTGCTCCATTAGAGGTCAAAAGTGGTAGCTTAGCATTAGCGATTATAATCTCCCAGTAAGGAATTTATGCTGCTCCAGTCATGTTCTCTTCACAAGTTACCACCACTACTTAACGATGGAAGTAGTTTAATGTCCGTCTTCCCTCGGACTCACATAGACATTTTTATATACCAGTCATCAACAGGGCGAGCAGCCGGTTTTTATTCCAGTCATATGATAAGGAGCAACGTTATCACTGTTGGTACTTTGTCTGGAGAGGGGATTGTTATACAGGCAGAATGAAGGAAACTAAGAAACCCCGATAAGTATGGCTGATCGAATTTTGTTAGTTATTTTAACATACATTTTACCTATTTTATGTCATTACTGTATAGCTCGGTTCAGGAGTCTTTTATCAGTCCGTCATTCATATCCATATGATTTATGGTTCCGAAGTAACTGTCTGTTACAGGAAGTCAACTATTTTGTTGAACTCCATTTTGTGTGCATGAAGTGAGTTATTTTATCTCTCTAGGTTGTATGTGAACATATGATTCAGCTGTACATATGCATAAGTCAACAAACAAGTAGTGAGGATAGTGAGCGTCAGTTTTATCTTCTATCGAATGACCTTTTTCGTGGGGTGGCTGGGGATTGGAGAATATTGTATGACTAATCCGTTAGTGAATTGTTCCTACGAGAAGTGGTTGTCGTTGTATGCGAGTGACCCTAAGACTCTTACCCTATCAGCCATCTTGATGCAGCTGATTTGGTCTCTTAATTTCAGCTGGAAAAATGGTTTTCACATGAAATAAAGACATCGAATTGAGCTATCCGTTGAATGCAAGAATGATCACCTGCTCTGTCATAAGCGTATCAAGAAGTCAGGTGACGAGATTACACCACGAAAAGTTGTAACATGGACAAATTATTCTTGCTATGTAAAAGAGGAGACCATGTAATGTGAATGATTTACTCATTCTGAATAAATGTTGGATTACCAATTTGATTGAATAAAAGATGCACTTTCGTCTCTTTCTCTATCTCTCTGATTTTTGTTGTTTTAAATGACAGCGAATACTGCATCACAAGATGCATCGAAGTTGGAAGTTTTGTCTATGATGCGAGACGCTAAACGACGTCGTCAAAGTTACCGAGGAATACACACGGCAAGAAAATCATACACAGAGGTATACTTGTAGTTATTATTATGATCATAATATAAGATGTCGAATTTATTCAGTAAATATTATCTTCTTTCTGATGACAAAGAAAATAGAAAACGAACTGATGAACGTACACTTGGTTGTGATGAGATGTATTACAGTGGAAAGTATCTTTGGATTTGGTACAACTGTCGGTCGTTCCAAAATGGAATGTGTCACTTAAATATTCAAACTGTCGATCTGGTTTATCTGATCAACCGAAACTAATAAGGTTACGACTTCCACCAAGACTTCATTGACTGCTGTCATTTCTTTATCCGACTACTCTGAGATTTGTCTTTTTCTCGCTGGTTGAAGCCAGCGTGGTCTGTGTGCAGTGAGTAGACATGGGTATTATTGCCTGCAGCACAGTTGATGTAGTTTGCGATAAGTTAAACTGACTTTTCGAAACCATGATGAGATCTAACCGGCGGCCAGCGTTCTATGTTTCATGTGCGAACGTGTCACTCACTATCACTATATAAGAACGGGTAGTAATATCAAGTTTCTCAAACTGAAGAGGCTAGATCGTGTTTGTGCAACCGTATCTCATGGAATTAGTCACGTGGTTTTCAACCGGTTGTTCACAAGGTTGAGCATCATTTCATCTACGGAGGACTTGATTAGCCAGGTGGTATAACAAATCCTCACTCAAATGTAGCTCATGGCCTAGCGAATGTTACTGCACACCCACTTAATCTGTACCTTGAAGTTTTTGGTATAAATCACATAGAATCTGATTACTTAGGAAATGAGTGAGCTCTAATTAAGCAGATCTTTAAGTACAAATTAAGCTTTGGAAAAACATGATTTGTCTTCAAATAAAGCGCTTAAATTCGCATGTCCAGTTCTTGCTACTTCCAAAATAAATAAGTAGTTCAAATGGTATTTGTAAATATAAGTCGCGTTATTGTTTACACTGTTTAATGTTAGAAATTGTGTTGCGTTCATTTTCGTATAGGTTCTACGTGAAATTATAGCACAACAAACTGAAATATTGTCATCTACCCAAGAATCGATGAAAAGATCTTCGGATAAAAGGTCCAGGTTAGTCAGAGGAGATATCTAAGTGTTTCTTTTACGGTTTTAAATGTTTTTTGGTTTCTAATACTTTACATCTTTCAGTTTCCTTCTTTCCCACTTACATGCTTCGAGATAGTAACTTCGTTGGCTCAGCATTTGAGCTGTGTTTATCAAATCTAACTAACTAATCAATAAAGTGCAGTTTCATAAGGTTAATGATAGTATTTTGGTATCGGTTCACTGATGTTTTGTGAGTTTCAATTCTCTATGGTTGAGAATAGTTTTCTCATGCTACAAATACAGGATGTCATTTGGGAAGTCATTGAAAATTAAGAGTAATGAACAACTATCACGTAGTTCTCCATAAATTTTCAACAATGCAGATCTATCATTTATCTCATTGGAATTGAAGTCAATATCCACTTATTCCTTGGTAAAGGAGGTGAGGTTGCCTTGTCTGGAGTCTGGTTAGTAAGGTTTTTAACAAGCGACAAATTCCGTTATAGGCAGCACTTTGGGACATTTGGTTGACCTTTGAAGTTCGAATTTATTATAGTAGTCTCACACAGTTATACTACGTCATAGTCATCATGTTAACCGTAGGCTGTTACATTGAGAGTGTGATAAGACTTTTTATCATGAATAGTATAGACATGTGATGAGCCTGATAAAACCATTAAAAAAAATGCGGAAGTGATTCTTAATCTTTATTCATTGTTCAAATGGGAGCAGGTTTGAATTTGACAAGAATAATCAAGCGAAATATATGATGACTGTTTTAGCAACTTGTATTACTGGTTATCTTCTATGTTGTATGCAGGTGAGGATATGTGTACGTGCTTGATATTTAGTGTATACACATTTTTATGTTAGCAAGAGATAGACGGGGGAGGCATATCGATGCTTCTCATTGTTCACACCTAAGTAAGTGAAATAATAGGCATTGAAGTCGTTACCCCAATATTCTTATGCCTCAATCTGATTTCACAATTCACTTACGTGTTGTCCCTTTTCTATTATTACTGAACATAGTAGTGTGGAGTCATTTCGAATCGAACAAGAAGCTGTCAAAAGAAAATCTGACTCTTACAAATGCAACTTGACAAATTACTCCCAGTTGAACAATCCTCCTGGAGACAGTCGTCATGGCAATGAAAGATATTCCAGACCCACTTCCAAACACAAATACGACTCACCGAAGCGAGATATAAAGCGATCAGTTTCTAAACGGCATACTTCCAGTTCATACCATCATAGCTGTAATGATGATGATGATGTTGATATTGTTGGCAGTGTTGATTTATCGAAACATGAAAGACCGAAAAAGCATAAAAAACATTCTAAACAGAAGCATAAACATAAACACAAACATAGAAGTAAATAGTTAAGCTTGTTCTTCATCTGTAGTGGTGGAAGATTTTTCAATTTAACTTCGGCCTATGTATGTTCTGTTACAGAAGATTAACTTGAAATCCTTCGCCAGTTAGTAGGAGAATATGGATCAGTTTTATTAATTCTACGGATCCACCTTGCTAGTCAATGTCATTAAGCATGAAAACTAGGTTAAGAAGGGTTTCCTACCGAATACTCCCGAGCTGCCCAACATGAATCACAGTCTATTGACGATTTTAACTCTCTTATGTTTGTGTTAATGATTTTATTTGCTGACTTGATCGCTGAAGTTCCGTTATCATCTAGGACTAGATAAGATGACTTATATTAGTCTGGATGCGTACTATTAAATTGAAGATGGGGTGAGAAAGTACTCCTAATTCAAGATATAGTAGTGTTTAATTTTACTCATGCCGTGATTAATCCAGACAGACAGACAAAATCAACGTAGGACCTCACACACAAACAAGTGACTTTGTCTTACTTGGCACACTTCACAGTAGCTACCAAGGAACAGGTGGTTAGAAAAAGAGTAATATCAAGGTAGATAGAGTAGTGTGAGAGAATAAACAGTTCGAAGATGAAGGTGAGAGCGAATATTCAACGAGCGAATACGTTTGCCCGCAGAAACAGACCTTCAGTCATGTAACCAAGCGTTCTTAGCCACTGATTCCTGTCGTCTCGCGGACTGCAAACAATTAGTCTCTATCCCTGAACACTGCTCAGATAAACGGTCAAGGACTTCATGGACTGGTATCACGTCTTGGTCTAGCCACCTTGAAGCTTTTTTCAATATAACTTTTAGCGTAGCCCTTTGAGTTTTGATTGAAGAGTTTTTCGGTGTTGGGTTACACTCCATTGTTAATAATGTAATACTGTGCTACAGTGTATTTTGTAGAGTTGCAGCTGGTTGGATTAGGAAGTTGACTTTCAACCGGTGGGTCGTGAGTATGAACACCACTCCACCTACCGGGGTTTGGGCAGCCAAGTAGTATCATTGGCCCTCACGCAATGGGTGTGACTCGTCTGATGCATGAATGTACACAAGGTTACTGAATGTATTTCTATTTTGTGTGTTTTTAAGGCTTAATCAACACAATTTGTGGGCTTATGATTGCAGCGTAGGCTGACAGGGTATGAAGATACTGATAACTTGAGACCTGGCGTAATTGGCATCTCTGGTCTCCTGAAACCACACTGCAGCTTTCAATGTCTTCACCTCTGTCAAATTGTCCAACAAGCTTCATTAGCCAAAACTTAGGCCATAGATGTGTGATGTGCTTATGAGACTCGCATACAGCACCGAAGTGCGGTTATTCAACCAACTTCACCCTGTCAGAATGGTGAATCCGCAAAGTCAACTCTTCGAGTTTCTGGAATTTTGATGCCTATTTGTGGTGGTCTTGGAAATGTAGGTATGGCATTGAGTGCTAGGGTGGAAAAATCACTACTCGACTGCATTCTAGTTGATAATCACCTATGCTATGTTTGACTGAACGATACAGTAAGGTGTTGTAAAGGGAATAGTGAGACTCGCCTTTGTCTTTTTGTAATTGCCCCTTAAGCAACCACTGATTGAAGTTCGAGAGAGGTTTAAGGATGAGTTCTACCACAAACTGTCTAGTCTTCCACTTGAAACTAAAAGTTCAGATATGTTTGTTTTCAAAACAGGCGATTCGAATGCCCAGTTGGGTAAGCTAAGTCAAACAGAAGTGCACTTGGGTGGAACTTCCCGAACCATAGCTGAACGAACAGATAACAGCAACCACGTGCTATAACTGTGCTCAAACAATCAGTTATTGCTGGTCTGCACGAACTTTGTCTGACATGGTGTTCACCAACCTCAAATTAACGGTGGGAATAGATAGACTATATTACTGTCGATTTTCACTGGATATGGTAGCTGAAAGGTTGTCACTCCTATTGGAACACATGTCTGGATAGCGACCATATACTAGCTCCAACATGTGCGTCTTCACCCCTGAGAATTCATGGAAATCTAAACTACAGCGGCATAACCATTGGAAAGGTTGCTTGGCGAAGGGAATACTAGGGTTGATTTCCCCAAGTAACTGGCTATACAGTTCTCGGTACGAAGCAACACTTATGCCGAAGAGACCTGACATCATCTCTATGGCTAGTGAGTACATCAGTAGATCTCAACAGCTTCTAGACCAGTCTATGCGCATGAACGCATCCTTGTAGGCTCCGAGTATAATGAGAAAAGAAAGCAACGCAAATGTAGGTTGACAAGAAGTCTATACAATGATCGCGAACAATGAAGAGCAGTAAAATGTAGGGAGGTGGAAAAAGCTGTGTTGATAGCCAACAGTAGACAGCTATTTAGACTCAGTAAAGAAAGTGGAGCCAAGAGTTTCACAATGAGTGAAACTATGACAGAGAAGGAAGGATTTGTGATCCACTCACATGAGAGATGACTGGAACGATGAGATGAACACTTCAAGAAACAGCTGTTTTTCAAGTAGTAGCGGTTGATTCTAATGTCACACAAACTTGAAGATCTACAGGCGAAAACTAACAAGTTGACAGAAGAGGCAAGGCAGCGAAGACGGGACTTCAGGTGAACGTAGAGAAGACAGAGATGGTGAAGATACCCAACCAACAACAACAAGCACCAATCATCTTCAACGGAGAAATCTAAAGGAAGTTGTCTCTTTCACCTACCTAGGCAGCATCGTTTCAATACAAGCGGCACGGATGAGGACGTCAAAGCCAGGATCGGAAAAGCAAGACAGACCTTTATCAATCTGAAACCAGTGTGGAGATATACTGCACTCAGCATAAAGCGTGAACAACATCCGGATTTTCAACACCAACGTCAAATCAGTGCTTCTGTGTGGCTCAGAGACTTGGCACGTTACGAATGGGATTTCCAACAAACTACAGACATTCATCAACAGCTGCCGCCTACACTCACTCGATACTGAAGCTCAGATGGCCAGAAAGAATAAGCAAGGAGGAACTCTGGCAAAGAACCAACCAAGAGTCTATAGCTCAAGAAATATGCACTGGAAGGAAGTGGAGATAGATTTGGCATACACTGAGAAGGCCGACTGGAGACATCACGCTTCAGGCCAGGCCGTCGAGTGGAACCCAGATGGGAAGCGACGAGTTGAGCGTCGGTGCCGAGGGTGACATGAAGGAGACGGTGTGAAAAAGAAATAAGAGCTTGTGGGCTGTCGTGGAGCCAGGTTCAAAAGTTTGCAGAGAATAGAGTGCACTGGAGACGTGCTACTGAAGCCCTGTGTTCCATTAAGAACCTACACGATAAATAATACTAATATAATCACCCACTTACATCAACAGAGAGTTCTTGAGTAGTGAAATAACTTCAGGAGACCGAAATCAGTCTATCCTCCGTTTTCTAACAAATTCAACGGTATCTTTCAAACTATGTTTCCATGATATTGAGCTTACTGTCTTTTATTATTCTCATAATGATAATTTAGTACCGGTTAACTATGATGGATATTGATTGATCAGGTCTATTGTCCATGTAGAAAGAAAAAAATAAACAGTCGGCTTCATTATTCATAGTCAAGTATGTGGTGGGCTCTCCGCATTCATTTACACTGATTGTCGTTATGTGTGTGGGTGGTTCTAATCGATCTATGCATCTGTATGTAAAATTTAGTTAAATAAACATAAGTTTACCTCTACACTTTCTCGATTTTCAACTATAATCTCAACTCAATGGTCAGTTTTTTTGTAATTAACAATATGTTGCTTGCAATAAGTTTCTCGTTACTTTATTTCTTTCTCACATTTGACCTTAAAAATCGGTTGTTTCATTTTTTTAAAACAAAGAAATTGACTTTATAAATAATAGTGAATTAAATCTTTTTATCAGTTTGACTATCTAAGATAGACGCAATAGTTTCACAGACTTCTACTGATACGCGGTTACCGGCATAGATTTTTATTTCACCTTTAATAATCAGCCACTATTAATAAGAATCTATTTTTTTTCCTGCTGACTGTAAAATTACATCGACAAATAGTGAATACTGTTGTGTTTACTTGTGAACTTGAAAGTCTTCTTTTTCACTGATAAATTGTTCTTGTTAGTTCTCGCCTCTGTAAGTACTTTGCCGGGTGGTGAACTCTATGCGCCGTTATTGAACAAATATTTCGATTCCTAGTGGGGCGTGGTCATGGATACTCACCGCTGAGGAGCTTCATACCAGGATGAAACAACTGTTCATTCCCCCTTGGTTTCCAGTGTTTCGCCAACTGATATTACTCCATGGTGTATACCAACCTGAAATCCTTAAATAAATCCCTACAAAGTGAACCTATTTCTTTCAAATGATCTCATTTTGAAGGCAGTAAAATCGTTGATTAGCAAGTAGTTTTCATTTTGGTGTAATTTTGTTTGTACAAGATGTGAGGGAAAATATGCTATCCATCATTGATTACTACTTTTTCTAGTAGCCAGACAAATCAATGCAGAGCCTGAGATACTGAAGTACATCGGTTCAAGTTACTATATATCACAGCAACAGAATTCAAGGAACAATTGGACGGCAAAAAAAACTGATATTTAGGTAGACAAAAGTATGGAAGACTTGACTAAATAAATTGATGCATGTTAATGCGAATCCTCAATATCTATGCCATTAGGATTGATTTTTCAACCCTTGATTCCGTATATCTCGAAGACCCCAACCAAGTAAATTACACGACTCAGATCGATATCTAAAGACGTCATGGACTGGTGTCACAACTTGGTTCTCTCTCCACTAGCCTTCTTCCAACGTAGTCCTATTTCAGTTAGCAATACACATTGTAGTTACTTGTGCCTCAGCATGTGCAACACATGTCCAAGTCAGTCAGTAAATGTTCATAATCTTATCAACTTGCTTGACTTCCTTGTCTAGTACTCTGCGCCTCAACTGAACACTGCTATTTCAGAAGATGGAAGTTTAAAATATGGATAGATAAAGAGATTTTCGAAATGTCAGTTAATATTCAGTTCTTTAAATGCGCATA